GCCACTGCACTCCAGCCTGGGTGACAGAACACGACTCCGTCTCAAAAAAAAAAAAGAAAACAAACAAAAAACAAATATGAATCTGGCGACGATATCAAAGATCTATTTTCATTTAAGAATAAAATTGCGGCCAGGTGCAGTGGCTCACGCCTGTAATCCCAACACTTTGGGAGACCAAGATGGGAAGATCTCTTGAGGTCAGGAGTTCAAGACTGGTCAACATAGCGAGACCCCCCCATCTCTATTTTTTTTTAATTTAAAAAAATAAAAAAAAGAATAAAATTATGTAGGTTAGTATAATATTAATATAAAAAATATTCCAGAACAGGTTTAACAAGGTTGCAGCATACGAGATGAATATATGTACAAAAACTGTATTCCAGGTAGTAGTGAACTAGCAGAGAAATTGAAATCTTTAAAATACCATCGGCAATAGTGTCAGAGAAAAAATGCCTAGGAAGACCCAAACACCAAAAAACACAAACATTGCTGAGAAAAAAATTGTAAATCCTAAATAAGTGGAGAGATATATTATGTTCATGGGTTGAAATGCTCAATATTGTGAAGACATCAATTAATCTACAGATTCAACACAATGATAATCAAAATCTTAGTGAGTTACTTTGGGGGTGTGGGGTGGTGGCGGTAGAAATTGACAACCTGATTCTAAATTTTATATGGAAATACAGAAGTCCTAGAAAGGAAGTAAGTCAACAAAGTACAGCCACATCAAGACCAAATGTGGCTCATTGCCTATAACTGTACAGGTTGAATGGAATGTGAGAACTATTTTTATATTTTAAAAGGTCTGTAACAGAAAAAAGAACATGCAACAGAAACTATATACAGCATGTAAAGCTTAGAATCTCTACAATCTGGTCTTTTACAAAAAACTTTGCCAACCTCTGACCTAAAATAGGACAACTCTGAAAAAGAAAAAGCTGGAGGACTAACTCTATCGGACTGCAAAAGTTATCAACTTGTTAAGAGAGGGTAGTCTTGGAATAAAAGATAAGTAGCTCTATGGAACAGAACAGTTGAGAAGCAGACATACGTATCAAGACAACTGATTTTCAAGAAAGAAGCAAAGGCAATTAAGTGAAGAAAGGATAGTCCTTTCAACAAATGATGCTGGAACAATTAGATACAAAGAAAAAAAAAAACCTACAACTTTGATCCAATCTTTGTGCCATGTAAAGATTTTAACTCAAAATGCATCATGTGCTGGTACCACAAGTACAACATATATTAAATATATTGTAATACACACACTCCTCAACTTACGACAGGGCTATGTCCTGATAAACCCATTTTAAGTTGAAACTATCATAAGTTAACAATTTGTAACCTTATTGTAAATTGAGAAATATATTGAACGCATGTGTTTCCACCATTGTAAATTAAAAACAATACTAAGTCAAACTCTTATAAATTGGAAACTGTATTTATGTTACCTGTTAAAATGAAATGTTTTATTATATAAACGTACACTAAATGTAAAGTATTAATATATCAAATACACTAATAGGTTTAATATTAAATACAAATTTTAAACTCCCAAAATTCAATAAAAATTGCAAAACCACATGATCGTGCCACTACACTTCAGCCTGGGAGACAGAGCAAAACCCTGTCTCTATTAAAAAAAAAAAAAAAAAAAAAATCAAAACCAATATAAACAGGCAAAAGATTTGAACAGACTTCCCCAAAGGCTTAAAGAGGGCCAGTAAGCATGTGAAACCATGTAAAACATCATTAGTCACTGGGGGAATACAAATTAAAACCATGATACTACTGCACACCTATTAAAACAGTCAAAATAAAAAAGACGGACCATACCAATGATCGGCAAGGATGCAGAGGAATCGCAGCTCTTATATACTGCTCATGGAAATGTCAAATAGCACAACCACTTGAGAAAGGTTTAGCAGTCTCTTAAAAAATTAAACGTACAGTAACATATGATCTGATCATTCCACTCTTAATTATTTAAAGAAATAGAAGCATATGTTAAAAGAATAATCTGCATATGGGTGTTCAAGGCAGTTTTAATTGAAATAGCCAAAAGGTAGAAATAACACATGGATAAACAGTTTGTGGCATGCCTTACAATGGAATACTATTCAGCAGTGAAATGGACTCTACAACATAAATGGATCTAGAAATTATCCTGAAAGATGCCAGACTATATTGATTCCATTCATATGAAAACCGTACATAATATAAAGTCATCTAAGAGAAAGCAAATCAGTGGATCAGGAGAATGACAGACAGGGAAGGGTGAGGAGAAAAAATTATAAAAGGGCATGAGGAAACCATCTGGTCTGATAGGTATGCTCATTATCTTGGTGTGTATGTACACATACGTGTATGTGTCCAAACTTAAAGTGTATGCTAAAAACATGTGCAGTTTATCACATGGCAATTATACCTCAATAAACGTATTGAAAGAACCTGCCTCAATAATTCAAACCAAAGACTCTCGGCAACAGTGAAAAAAGATCATTAAATGTACACTTCACCAAAGACTCATAAGCATATGAAAGCTATGTTCAACATCATTAAAGACACACAGAAAGGCAAACTTAAATACTTTATTTGGTTTTCTTTGCTGGCGCCAATTTTATTTTCTTTTTTTTTAGACACGGTCTCATCGTGTAGACCAGGCTAGGGTGTAGTGGCACAATCTGGGCTCACTGCAACTTCTGCCTCCCTGACCAGGCTCAACCAATCCTCTCCTCCCAGACTCCTAAATAGCTGGGACTACAGGTACAAACCACTACACCCAGTTAATCTTATTTATTCTTTGTCAAGATGAGGTTTCACTATATTGCCCAGGCTGGTCCCGAACTCCTGGGCTCAAGTGATCCTTCTGCCTTGGCCTCCCAAATTGCTGGAATTAAGGTGTGAGCCACCATGCCTGGCCAGGACCAATTTTCTCGTATGCAGTAAGTAAAAACTTATACCCCCTAAATGTTCCTCAATTCCTTATTCTTATAACTAAGTTTTTCATTAAAAAACCCTTTGAGAATATTTTAATTTTTTTTCCTTTCTTTTTTTGAGACAGAGTCTCACCACATCGCCCGGGCTGGAGTGCAGTGGCGTGATCTCAGCTCACTGCAACTTCTGCCTCCCAGGTTCAAGCAATTCTCCTGCCTCAACCTCTCGAGTAGGTGGGATTACAGGCACGTACCACCATGCCTGTCTAATTTTTGTATTTTTAGTAGAGATGGGGATTCACCATCTTGGCCAGGCTGGTCTCGAACTCCTGACCTCAAATGATCCACTCGCTTTGGCCTTTCAAAATGCTGGGATTTTAGGCATGAGCCACTGCGCCCAGCCTAAAATTGTTTTAAAGACTAGTGAAGTGTAGTACTGACAAATGGGAGAAAGAGTGGAACTCCTAAACAATTAAAAGTTCCATCTGTAACCGTGAACAATCGAGATAACTCAGGATCTTCAGACTAGCTAGATATTTTTATTAATAATATATACCTCTTTAAAACATGTATATTTACCAAAAGCATTCTGATATGGTATTCCTCTAGTATGACTTTTTGCATCTAAATTAATACAGCTTTTTTGACCTTCCATACAGTTTAGTTCCTCTTCAGTGTGGATGTTTCCTAATGACCAAGTTCAAGGGCTTTCCAACATCTCTTTCATTCACGGGACTTCCCAATGTGTGATCTGACATGCTCCCAAAGTGGAAGCTAAAAACAAAGAAGAATCTCCACACATCTTACATTCAAGATTTTTCACACTTGTGAGATCACAGTTGAATATTAAGGTATAAGGCAGAGCAAAAGGTTTCAACACATTCCTTACATCCAGAGGATGTGCATTTATATCCAGTGTGCTCACAAGCTCAATAAGGCCTGAGGAAAATAATGAAAGCTTTTCCACCTTCCTCACATTCACAGCATTTCTCTCCAGCATGAGTTCAAACAGACTCAGTAAGATGTAAGCATCGACTGATGGTTTTCTACATTCAGTTTGTTTCCTAGGATGCACAGACACATGGATAAGTACGGCCTATGGAAGGAGCCAGGACTTTCCCACATTCCTTACATTCATATGTCTTCTCTTCTATTGGAATTGTTGAGATCTGAGACACCAAGGAAGGCTTCCCACATTCCTTATGACTGTGTACATTGCCACTATGAGTACATGTTCAGTAAGTGTGAGGAAGTAGTGGCTTTACCACATTCTTTCCAAATATCAGCCCCAATTCACACACATTCAGTAAGGCATGAGGAATTACTAAAGGTCTGCCCACATTCCTTATATGGTTTCTTCACACTGTGACTTCTTAGATGTCGAATAAGATATGTGGACCGAGTAAAGGCTTTCCCACATTCCTGACATTCAAAGGGCCGTTCGCCAGTGTGAGTTCTCATGTGTACTGTAAGGCCTGATGAGATAGCGAAGGCTCGCCCACACTTTTGACATTTATATGGCTTCTCCCCTGTGTGTGTTCTTTTATGTTGACTAAGGTGCGAGGAGTATCTAAAGGCTTTCCCACATTCCTCACATTCAAAAGGCCTTTCCGCACTGTGACTTCTTAAATGTCGAATAAGAAACGAGGATCGAATAAAGGCTTTCCCACAATGTTGACAGTTATAGGGTTTTACACCAGGGTGAGTCTGCATGTGACTTTTAAAGCAAGAGGAATTAATAAAGGCTTTTCCACATTCCTTACATCGATAAGGCTTCTCACCAGTGTGAGTTCTCATATGTACAGTAAGATGTGAAGAGTTAGCGAAAGCTTTCCCACATTCCTTACATTCATAAGGCTTTTCTCCAGTGTGAGTTCGCCTGTGTTTTATAAGACCTGAAGAATCAGTGAAGGCCTTCCCACATTTGTTGCACTCATATGGTTTTTCTCCAGTGTGAACCCTTATGTGAATGCTGAGTTTTGAGAAACAAGTAAACTCTTTGCCACATTCATTACAAACATAGTGTTTCCCTCTAGTTCTAAGTCTCATATGTTTAGCAAGTTCTGGGGAATAAGCAAAGGCTTTGCCAAATTTTTTATGTTCTATAGGTAACACTCTACTATGAGTTCTTAAATGTTGAGTAAGATATGAAGACTGAGTGAAGGCTTTCCCACATGCTTTACATTCATAGAATTTTTCTCCATCTTGAGTTTGCATGTGTACAAAAAGGCCTGTAGAATCAGAAAAGGTTTTGACATACTCCTCATGAGTATATGGTCTCTCTCCACCATAAATTCTTACACATTCTCTGAGGTGTGAGGAGGAAGGTAAGCCTTTTTCACAGTCACTGCATTTGTATGGTTTCTCTTGAGTGTGAGTTTTCTTGCAAACAAGATGTAGATTTTGGCTAGTTTTCTTGCAAACAAGACGTAGATGTTGGCTGAAGGCTGTTTCACATTGATTACAGTTAGGAAGTTCCTCTCCAATATCAGTTTTCTTGTGTAAAGTAGAGGGTTTTGTGAAGGCTTTTTCACACTGATTACGCTCACAGGTTTTCTTTCTAAAGTAGGTTCTCCTGTGAGTCTTAAGGCACGAGTGTTCACACAAGGCTTTTTCACATTGGTTAAAGTCAAACAGTTCCTCTCCAAAATGGTTTCTCTCCTGTTGGTGAAAATTAATGATGATTCATACAAGTTTTCCAAATTTATTTCATTCAGATTCTCCCTTTTACTCTGAATTCTGTTATGCATGGAAAATAAGTTAGTATAATTGAAATTGTTTGTTCCTGCCATTTTCATTGCAATGCATGGTTCAGATCTGAGTGCTTTCAAGTGAAACAAAGTGACTGCAGGAAGTTCTGTTATATTATTTTCTTTCACAGGGCTTCTAAATAGAGCTTAGCTGATAGTGGCCCAAGAGTGAATTATTTATCAAAAACATCTGAGATACCTAGATGGGAATGTTTAGTTGAAGGAAATATGTAAGCAAATATATTATGAGGGATGTTTAGAGTGTTTGTCAAACTCATGATCCACAGTGTCTCCAAGAGACAGATTATTTTTGGGTGAAAAACACTAGTCTCAAATGTCTCAAGGTTACTGTGCGGCTTTTCCATTTTACGGAGTTTCCAATCTTCCTCTAACATGGAAGGCAATAAATTATACCTTCTGAATCTTACCATTTCCACCACATTGGATGTTTTCCCCTGCAAAAAATTCTGCTGAGGTGCTGACCATTTGGTATTAATATGACTCTCCCAATCTGAAATAAGATGGAAAAAAAAATTTTAAGTTCTTAGAGAAATAATGATTTTAAAAAGGGTATTAAAAATGCACGACTAGCGTGTATTGTAGTTTCAAACACTGGCTTGAAATACAGTTTTTTTTTTCTTTTTTTTTAAAGAAAGGGAAACAGAAATTGAGAAACTTGGATGTAATAAGAGTCTAGCAACAGTAAGGTACTGAGGTCAAGCTGGTAGGTGATTCACTAAGAAA